CGTCACGGCCACGCCACCGCCCCCCCCCAGCACCCTGCGGGGGTTCTTCCTCCCCCATTGCCCCTTCCCTCCTGGGTGCTGCCCTGCCAGGGGTGCTCCCCCCCTGCACACCCCAGGCAACATTCCCGGCCTCCCACCCTCTGCCAAGGCCAGGCTCCAGCCCAAAGCCGTTGGCAGTTTTCCACACCTCGGGCTCCACTTGATGCAGCTCCACTCACGGGATCGCTGTGTCACGGTCACCGGGATGGTGCAGCACTCCCCGGGTGAGGCTGCAGCAGTCCCATGTCCCTGTGCGCACCAGGGGCACCATCCGGCTGCCACACGCTTGTCACCTGTTAATACAGCAAAAATGGCTTTTGGGGTGCCTGGCAAGTGGGGTTTGGGTCACTGTGGGGGTGCAGACGCTGCTGGGAGCCTTATCTCTGCTTGCCACCTGAGTGCTGCTTATCAGGGACTCCCTGCTTGCCGCTGCTTGCCAGTAATCCCCATCTGTGTGAGCATCCTGCTTGTCTGTGGTGGGAGCAGTGTGCAGGCTGCTTGTGAGGGCAGCACTGGTGTGGGAGCTGCAGGGGATGCAGGGCTGCACCCGTCCAGCCGCTTCTTGCAGATTGTGCTTTGGGAGTTTAATATATAAATGCTTCCAAATACATTGCTGCAGCCCGGGGGTGGGTCTTTGGAAGGTGAGGAGCTCTGGCGTGTTCAGGAGCAGCTGCTTCTTCCCAGCGGATGTTGTCCATCACCATGGGGCTGAGCTGGTCGCGGTGAGCTGGTGCTGCCCTTCCTTGCCTGGCTGTGCCTATGGTTAATCACCAAGGGCACCTGCATCCTGCCCAGGGGTGTCAGTGGTTTGGGAGCTCTCTGGGCTGTGCTGGTCCTCCTCCTGGAGCAGGTTTGAGGGTTGCATGTGTGGGGCTCCTTGCTAGGTGAGCTTTGCCTGTGCTGCGTGGGTCATTCCCACCCTTGGTACAGCCCTGCATTGGACCCCTTTCCCTCTGATGCTGCCCCACCTAAGCCCCAGTAGGGTTTGCTCCAACAGATGGTCAGTAAGGGGTGAAAAATGCCTTCCTGGAGATCACCCAAGGATGTCATGGAGCAGGGATGAGCAGTGGGTGGCACTGGAAGGGCTGTTAGAGCCTGGCCCTTGCCAAGCATCACTCTGGGTCCTTCTTGGCTGTGTTCAGAGGCAAACCCCCAAATTCTGCCAGTGCTGCTGAGCTGGGCTGTGGGAAGCTGAGAGGGATGAGCAGCCCCAGTTCATGGGTGCTGGGCTCTGGAGCTGCACCCTTCCCTCCCGCCAGCACTTTGGGGTTTCACCCTGTGGCAGAGGCACAAACCAGATGCAGCCAGCAGGCTTTTTGGTCTCCTGGTGCCGTCTGCTGTTGTTTCCAGAAGGCAGAGCCATGCTGGGTTTCCCGGCTCTTGTGGAGCAAGGTGGAGATGGCAGCAGGGAAATGCCCTTCTCCTTCCCCCAGCACTGTCAGGTGCCCTGAGTGGCTCTGCCATGCAGTGTGTGGACTTTGCTCCCTCTAGAGAGTTCTTGTGTGGAGACCTGATATCTGTCCCATGGGATTACGATCCTGCCTGGCAACCAGCCTCCCGGAGCTGACACCTCCCCTCCTCCTGCTCCCAGCACTGCTGTCACCTGTGCTCAGCACACTCATGCATGTGCTGTGGGTCCCCAGGATCACAGGGTGGTTTCTGCTTAGTCTGAAGCTGTGCAAGGAGGTTCCTGGCTGGCGCATGCTGGCAGCTCACACGTGGACAGGCTTGAAGGACTCTTCTGCCAAGAGCTTTGCTTTATTCCTGGCTGCACAGTTTCACCCATAGCTCCAGCATGTGGCCAGGGGTTTTTCCTTGGATGTGGTAATTGAGGGACAACTTCTCCCTGGTGTGCCCTCATCCGCTTTGCCAGACCTGTTTGCTGATGAGGAAAGCAAATGCACTGTTCTCATGGCACCCATGGGTGAAATGGATTATTCCTGCTTAGTTCTGATAGAGGGATCTTTGTGCTTCTCCTGAGACTGTTTATTGGAGCCTGCTCAGAAACTTCCCAACAGCCGCACTCTGCTGTGTCAGCCGGATCTCACACACACACAACCCCATGGGCTGCATCAAGTCTTCATCACCCGTTTTGCAGCGCTTGCTTTGTGCATGATTTGGGTGACTGTGAGCTCCTGGGTCCTGAATGTGGCTCCTTCCTGATCACAGCCTGCAAGGAGCATTTGGGCAGTGCCTGGAGATGTGCCCTGCTCTCAGTGTGGAGGAGGGTTGGGCAGGTATGAGCTGGGTTAAGTGGCACTTGGCTAGTGCAGGAATGGCTTTGTTGGCCAAGACTAACACTGCAAAGAAAGCAGATGGTGAGCTCAAGGAAGAGCTGTTTCTGCAGCTGGAAGGAGCTTCCTTTATTCTGCTCGATGCAGAACAATAAAGTGAGCACCATGGCACTGCCTCGAATGCCCCCCTTGGGGAGCAAGGGCTCCATGCAGTCATGCTGCAGGAATGCTGCTGGAAAGGGTGTGTTTGGCTTCAAGAGCAGAAACCACTTCAAATTCAAGGGTGATGTTTGCTGATCTTGTGGCCAGCATTCACCCCGGGTAGGCCAAAGGAGGTTTTGCTCCCTGCAGCTTGTCCTCAGCATCTTGGATGCTGCACACAAGGTGCGCTTTGGGATTCACAGCTGCTGTGCTGCAGATGGGACCTACCTGCAGGACCCACCTCTCTTGGCATGCTCTCAGAGTCACAATAGTGTGTCCAGCTGAAGCCTTCCCCTGCGCCACGCTGCTGGCTTCACAGGGACCCTCCATCCCTCTGCTCTGCTCTCATGAGGCCACACTTAAAACACTGTGTGCAGCTCTGGTGTCCTCAACATAAGAGGGACATGGAGCTGTTGGAGTGTCCAGAGAAGGCCAGGAGGATGATCGGGGCTGGATCACCTCCCATATGGAGCCAGGCTGAGAACATTGGGGGTGTTCAGCCTGAAGAAGAGAAGCTGCAGGGAGACCTCAGAGCAGCTTCCAGTGTCTGAGAGGGGCTACAAGGATGCTGGAGAGGGACTCTTCATCAGGGACTGTAGGGACAGGACAAGGGGTGATGGGTTCAGACTGAAACAGGGGAAGTTCAGGTTGGATATAAAGAAAAAGCTCTTCCCTGTGAGGGTGCTGAGGCGCTGGCACAGGGTGCCCAGAGAAGCTGTGGCTGCCCCATCCCTGGCAGTGTTCAAGGCCAGGTTGGACACAGGGGCTTGGAGCAAGCTGCTCTAGTGGAAGGGGTCCCTGCCCATGGCAGGGGTTGGAGCTGGAAGAGCTTTAAGGTCTCTTCCAACCTAAACCATTCAATGATTCACATGAACTTTGCTGTCTCTTCTTCCACCCTCTGTCTTTGGGGGCAGAAAGCTTCTTGGCCTGTCCCCGGGGAGCAGAGCCTGTTGGACACGGTGCCTGCTGCTCTCCACAAGCTCCAGCTGCTCCTGCCCCAGTTCACACCAGGCTTTGCTGCGCTTTGAGCGATGTGGGGCTGCTCCTGGCTCCAGGGAGCAGAAGGAAAGGGCTTGTCTCTGCTTTATGCTTCCAGCAGCCCCTAATCCCTGTCACAGGGTTTCCATGTGGGAGAACACGTTCTGAGACCACGTCACACGGCTCCGCTCTCTTGTGCAAGTCCTCTGGCTCCGGATGGGTGCCTTCGCTCCCTGTGTTCTTTCCCACTGTTGGGTACAAGCAGTTTCGGGACAGTGACTCCAAGGCAGAGATGTCTTGGAGGAGATGGCTCTGCTGTCACTCAGGGCTGCCATCCAGGGGCTGGCAGTGCTTCTGGGTGAGACCCAGGGTCTGTGGGCTGGATGAGGGTGTCATCAAGAAGGCTTTCCTGCCCAAGGAGGATCTCATGACTTGGCCAGTATCCCCCAGGCTATCAGAGCTCTGTTATCGCTGTGGCAAAGAGCTTGGGCTTGAAATTACATCTGAGGTCAGCTGGAGTTGAAGCTGAGTCTCTAAGTGACTGGCTACTGTCAAGGCACAGAGGAGCATGGAGCAGCTGAGCTGAAGCACAGGACCCACAGCTTGATGGGCCCTGCATCAAGCTCCCTGATCCTGGTCTGGATGCTGCTGCCTGCAAAGTGGGAGGTGTCGGGTTGAGTTTGATGCCACTCAGCAAGTGGTGTGGTGGAGATGAGCCCTTGGCCCCACCAATGCTGACCTTGTCCTTGCCACAGGATGGGCTCTCTGAGAGCAGCTCTGGACCCTGGGTCAGAGCATCCTCCCTGTGCTGTCGCAGGGCCGCCAGGTAACACTTGCCTGGATGGTGAAACCCCCTTGCTTTCCATGAGTTTGTGGCATCTGATGGCATTTGTGCCATCTGACCTGGCAGTAGAGCTCAGGCTGAGCATCACTTGATCCATCGGTGATGGGATGGTGAGGGAAATGCAAGGTCCAGGGCAGCAGCAGGGGAGCCTCCAGCGTGGGGTTGCAGGGAGTTGCTGACCTGGTCCTTATCGTCCCTGTTTCTCTTCTTAGCTCCTGCACCTCTGCAGCCGAGAAGGAGATGGGAGGTGAGTGACCCAGCCTCTCCTGCTGATAGGAGATGATAGCCTGAAGGCCCAGCTGATGGGGCAGGGCACGAGTGGAAGGACCCAGCTCCTACCAGCCTCAAAACATGAGCTGGATGAGGAGCATTGTGGTTCTTGGCCAGATAAGCAGAGGCTCATCCTGTGCTTCGGCAGCAGGGCAGGCCGGGCGCTCTGCAGCCTTCAGGGGCTCTGCCGAGGTCCAAGCCAGAGCCTCTCTCCCCAGCACCCACGGCAGAAGCCCCTGGGAGGTTCCAGGAGCTCAGCAGGGCTGCGGAGCCTATCTCCATCGTTTTCACCTCCAGGAGCAGAGCAAAGGGAGAAGCAATACCGAGCCCACCCGGGATTTGGGGACCGCCGCGGTGGGGTCATCAGTGCCCGCACTTATTTCTATGCTGATGAGGCCAAGTGTGACCAGCACATGGAGACCTTCCTCCGCTGCATCGATGCCTCAAGTAAGTGCTCCACATGTCCTGAGGAGCCCCACTGGGCCTGGGGACTGCAGGGACCCTGCAGCCCTCTGCCATACCATGGTGCCCCAGCACCCTGCCTCGGATCAGCTCTGCTGCTGTGTCTCCATGCAGGTGGCAGCTCTGAGGACGGCTTCTCAGCCATCAAGCTGACGGCACTGGGCAGACCTCAGTTCCTGGTGAGTGTCAGGGCTCTGACCAAGGTGACGTGGGGCAGAGCCAAGGCCATGGGTGATGCTTCTGTGGGCAGGTACTTTGGGATGCCACGCTTGCTGCAGCGGCATCTCTACAGATAGCAGAGGGCAGTGGACATCAACAGACTGTCCCCCGTGTGCCCAAGGCCACCCTGAAGACCTTGCCTCAGCTTTTGGGGACACAAGAAGATCTCGGAAGTGTAAAGTTCCGAGGGCATGGGGGTCCTGTACTGCTGGGCTTGGCATCTGCTTGGCCAAGGTGCGCTGCTGTAGGGTCAGGGTCTGCCATCGGGGTATGGTCTGGCAAAGCTGTGGCAGGATGGGGTGCTCCGGGCCAGGTGCCTCAGCTCAGGCTCCCTCCACAGCTGCAGTTCTCAGAGGTGCTGGTCAAGTGGCGGAGGTTCTTCCATCAGATGGCTGCAGAGCAGGGCCAGGCTGGGCGGGCAGCGCTGGAGATGCGGCTGGAGGCAGAGAAACTGCGGGTGAGGCGGGTGATGCCCGAGGGAGGTGGATGTGCTGCCGGAGAGACCTGCACCATCCCTGAGCCTGGAGCAGTAAGAACACTGCAGCCCCATGGCACTGATGTTCCTTCTGGTGGCAGGAGTCCCTGGCCAACCTCGGCATCGCAACCAAGGCAGAGACCCAGCACTGGTTCACGGGGGAGAACCTGGGCATAAGTGGGTAAGCTGCCTGTGACATGGCGACACTGGGGGCCTTTGTCTCTGTACCTCGGGCTGTGGTGCAGCAGCAAAGGGAGGTCTCCAAAGGGCAGCACTGGACTCAGTGACCAAGCGTAGAGGAGGTCTGGGTGGAGGTCACAAGACAGGTTAGGGTGGCACCTCACTTGCTGGAGGGGTTGGGAGCTGGTGAAGACCTCCCTACCCCTGCAAGACACGAGCACGGAGCCAGCTCTCTGCTCCCAGCACCGTGGACCTGCTGGACTGGAACAGCCTGATTGACAGCCGCACCAAGCTCTCCAAGCTGCTGCTTGTGCCCAACATGCAGGTGAGTGGTCATCAGTGGTACCCTGCAGCAGCCGCACTGGGAGCAGGGTGCAGGTGCACGCGCTGGTGGCTGTGATGCTGGCTGCTGTCTGTGCTAGCAGAACCTGGCCACACCATGACCCACTGTGTGCAGCCACGAAGCTGGCAGGGTGGGTGCTGGGAGCTGGGGTGGCAGCAGCCCCACGGATGGGCTTCCCCCAGGGCTGTTTCTGCCCCATGGGCAAGGCTGCACACAGGCAGGGTGCCACAACCTGTTCTGCTTTCAGACTGGGCAGCTTGAGCCTCTGCTCTCGCGCTTCACTGAAGAGGAGGAGCTGCAGATGAAGAGGATGCTGCAGCGGATGGATGTCCTTGCCAAGGTGAGGGGGAGCTGGGGCTGTGGAAGCTGGGCATAGGCCCTGACACAAGAGGGGGTGACATGGAATCAGAATCCTTTGAGTTGGATGGGACCTTAAAGCTCATCCAGTGCCAGCCCCTGTCACGGGCAAGGACACCTTCCACTAGAGCAGATTGCTCCAAGCCCCTGTGTCCAACCTGGCCACAGGTATCGGGTGCCCCCATGAACACACCCCACATGTCACTCACCCCCCCAGAGAGCCACTGAGACGGGCGTGAGGCTGATGGTGGACGCAGAGCAGAGCTACTTCCAGCCCGCCATCAGCCGCCTCACCCTGGAGATGCAGCGCCGCTTCAACAGGGACCGGGCCATCATCTTCAACACCTACCAGTGTTACCTGAAGGTGAGGTCCGGCTGCAGGCTGGGCAGGAAGGATCTGCTGGATGGAGACCTTGGCTCCTGAAGCCATGGTGATGCATAGCTCAGGGCTGGTTGCCTTGGAGGCACAGGGCAGAGGTGGCACTGGTGCAGTGACCTTGTGCCATCTCTTCCCCCTGGTCCCAGGAGGCTTATGACAATGTGACAGTGGACGTGGAGCTGTCGCGTCGGGAGGGCTGGCACTTCGGCACCAAGCTGGTCCGTGGTGCCTACATGGAGCAGGAGCGGGAGCGGGCAGCCCAGATCGGCTACGAGGATCCCATCAACCCCACCTATGAGAAGACCAATGAGATGTACCACAGGTAGGGGCAGCCCCAGCCATGGTCCTCCCTCATCCCACCAGGTACAGGCTCCAGCAGCCTCACCACAAGCCCCTGTACTGCCTTGCAGGTGCCTGGACTATATCCTGGAGGAGATCAAGCACAGCCGGAAAGCCAATGTGATGGTGGCATCTCACAATGAGGACACAGTGAAGTTCACCCTGCGCAGGTGACTGCTGGCCAGGCGTGGCAGGCACTGGGGATCCAGCAGAGCTGCAGTGAGATGTGGCTTGTCGGGTCTCCTGTGCTCACCCAGTGGGACGCTGCCCCATGTGCTCTGCTGTCTCTGCTGTTCCTCATACCAAGGCTTGGCTTGCAGGATGATGGAGCTTGGCATCCACCCCTCAGAGAAGAAGGTGTACTTCGGGCAGCTGCTGGGCATGTGCGACCAGATCACCTTCCCCCTGGGTGAGTGCTGGGAGCAGCAGGGACGTGGCAGTCGTGTTCCTGCCCCATGGAGTCACCCCTGGGGTCTGCAGGACGGACAGAGCCAGGATGTGCCTGTGAGAGCACCACTGGTTGAGAACAGCGCCCTGTGGCCTCTATCATAGAACCATAGAATGGTTTGGGTTGGAAGGGAGCTTTAAAGCTCATCCAGCTCCAACCCCTGCCACGGGCAGGGACACCTTCCTCTAGAGCAGCTTGCTCCAAGCCCCTGTTTCCAACCTGGCCTTGAGCACTGCCAGGGATGGGGCAGCCACAGCTTCTCTGGGCACCCTGTGCCAGCGCCTCAGCACCCTCAAAGAGTGGGTTCTGAGCTCAAGCGCACACTGAAGCAGGGTCACTGAGGAGCTTCTCCTCACCCAACACCCCCAAGTCCTTCTCAGGGCTGCTCCATCCAGTCTCCCCCTGCCTGCATCTGTGCTGGGGCTTGCCCTGACCCAGGGCAGGGCCTTGCACTTGGCCTCATTGAACTCCGTGAGGTTTGCATGTCCCATCTCTCTAGCTTGCCCCTTCCCTTTCCCAGCTGTGTGGAATGCTGTGACTCCTGCATGGGGTTTGGGCAGGATGTAGGTGGAAAATCACATCTGTCTTTTGGAGATCCCACAAGACCATGATGGCTGCGCAGGGAGATTCCCACTTTGGTCTCTGAGCAGAGACAGTTGTCTGAGGTGGGGCAGAGGCTGGTCCTGGCAGGCACAAACCTCCCTTGTACCCTCTGGCTCTGATGGAGCTGCACACCAAGCACTGGGCAACAGCCTCTTGTGTGACCTTGTCCTCTCCTCTGCCACTGGCCCCAGCAGTACTGCTGGGGCCCAGACCCAGGGACACGCGAGGGTCCAGGTCAGGGAATGAAGCCCCTGCCCGCACTGGTGGCCAGAGCAGAGCCCTGCACCCAAGGGAGCTGTGGGAGGCAGAGGGGCCATTGTCCAGCCCGGCGGCGGCTCTGCCCCAGAGCTCCCATCGCCAGCGGGGTTTGGCTGCAGCCTCCTCTGCTCATGCTGCAAAAATGTGTTAACTTGATGTTTCTGGTTGAACGCTTCTTGCCTTGGCCCAGCCCCGGCTCCCGACATTCCCAGGGCTCCTGGTGACCTCGGCGCCTTCCCAAGCTCCCTGTGCTGAGCAGGCTTGGCCTCATCCGCCTGCTCCCAGGCTCCCCTCCCCAGTGCTGGACCACAGCCTCCACCCGCTGCATCCCTCCCACCCACTGCATCCTTCACTCCTTGGCACAGCCCGAGGGGCACCGGAGGGCTGGGAGGTGAGGGGGAGGCTTTTGGCTTCCTTCTACCCCTCTTTCGTCTTTTTTTTTTTTTTTTTCCTCTTTTTTCCTTCCTTCCCCCTTTTTTGGCTTTCTTGGTCCTTTCCAACCTCTCTCTCCTCCAGGTCAGGCTGGCTTCCCTGTCTACAAGTATGTGCCCTACGGGCCGGTGCAGGAGGTGCTGCCCTACCTGTCCCGCCGGGCCCAGGAAAACAGGGGCTTCATGGAGCGGGCGAACCGGGAGCGGGACCTCCTCTGGAGGGAGGTCAAGCGGCGGCTCCTGGCCGGTACCTTCTTTAGCTCCAGCCACTAACCCCAGCTGTGCCTCCAGCCCAGCACCTCTTGTGCCTTCACCTATGACCACTACTGCCATTCCCCAGCCTAGTCCTGCTGCGGTTGCCCTCCCAGCACCCTTTTCCCGAGGAAGGGACATGTCCTTGTTGCTCTTTGAACGGCACACACCTCCCAGAGGTCACTGCTGTAGGACTGCCCCAAGAGCTGTCCCCCCACCCCAGGGCCTTGAGCTGGGCTATCTCAGGGGCTGTGCTGCAGTGAGCGCTGCCCTGGGGCGTTCCCATTGGAGCAGCAGGTTTGGCTGCCTGCTGTCTGCCATGGGCTCGGGGACAAGCTGGTCTCAGCCACGCGTTCCTCCAGCCTCAGCCAGGGCAGGGACTTTTCTTCCAGCTCTGTGGAGGCAGTGCCACAGTGAACTGGGCAGGGGCACACTTGGTACCTGCTGTCTGACCCAGGGCAGCTGCTACCTGGCTGCTCCCCAGCTTTGCACAGCCCATCCCACAGGGCTCAGCAGAGCCTGGGCTTGGCCAGTGGGGCAGGAGGAGCGGGGAGAGGCAGCCAGCCCCTGCCCTGCTCATGGTCCCCAGTTCCGGGTCTGTCTTGCAGTTAGGGGGGAGCACCCAGAGCTGGAGCACAGCTCGGCTCTGCTGTACGCTGGATTGGTGGAGAATGGTGATGATTAAATTGCAGCTGTTCTTGCTCCTCTCTTCTGTTGTTCACAAAATCCCAGCCTGGTTTGGGTTGAAGGGACCTTAAAGCTCCTCCAGTTCCAGCCCCTGCCATGGGCAGGGGCACCTTCCACTGGAGCAGGTTGCTCCAAGCCCCGTCCAACCTGGCCTTGAACACTGCCAGGGATGGGGCAGCCACCCCTGGAAGTTACTGGGAACCATCTGTCCCTGGGCTGTGCATCACTGCCCGGGACCCGAAGGGGGGGGGGTTGTGCCTGCTCTCGGCCCCCTCCAGCTGCACATTTTGGCCAGGGCTTGAGGAATGGAGCCAGAGACAGGATCTACTGAGTGAGGCCAAACTTCCTGGGAATGAGAAGCTGTGGAGTTCTGAAATGGGCTTGGAGGGGACCAGGAGCCCTGGAACATCCCCCAGGCTGCGGAAAGGGGGTGGGAGCTACAGGAGAGCCTCTCCCCACCCTGAGCTCTGCTCCTGGGGCTGTTCACACTGAGGCTGCCACTGCCTCAAGCTAGGAGCAGCTTTCCCTGGGCTTGGCCGGAGCTCTGCAGGACCACAGGCAGCTCTGGGCTCCCCTCCCAGGCAGCCAGGGCAGCAGTTCAGGCTCTCCAGAGGTGCTCCTCTTCTGCTGTTTCTCCAGGTTGAGACTCCCCTGCCTTAAAGAACAGGCTGGGGGCTGCCTCCTGTTCACCTGTGCCACTGGGTGCCCTGCCACCCCACAACCTCCATGTTCCCAGCAGCCTTGATCCATGCTCAGCCACAAAACAGCAACTGCCCTTTCTGTATCTGGGTGCGCTGACCCAGTCACCAGCACCGGTCACCCCATGCTGAAGTGCACAAGCTCGAAAGGCCTGAGGCCTTCAGAAGGACCTGCAGATGGTGTGGAATGGATGACATCAACCATGCTCGTGGGGCACTTTTAATGTTGCTGCACTGTTGGACTGAGGAGGGTCACTGACCAGGCTGGAGCTGTGGGACTGCTGGGGGTGCCCCATGTGTCCCCCAGCTCCACAGATGTGTCCTTATGGTGGGTTAGTTCTGAAGCTCTTCTGTCCCTGTTCAGGGTCAAGGTCCCTTGGTTCCACTATTGTGGGTACCACTTGGCTTCCCCAGGTCCCTGTGTGGCTCCCAGCAGGCTGAGCCCAGCACTGCTAGATGCATGGAGATGCCAGACACCAGGAGGTGGACCCTGGGACAGCCGGGCACATAGAAACACAGAATCCCAGCCTTGTTTGGGTTGGAAGGGGCTGTAAAGCTCATTCAGCTCCAGACCTCTCCCGCAGGCAGGGACACCTTCCACTGGAGCAGCTTGCTGTGTCCAACCCCCTGTGTCCAAGCCCCTGTGTCCAACCTGGCCTTGAACACTGCCAGGGATGGGGCAGCCACAGCTTCTCTGGGCACCCTGTGCCAGTGCCTCAGCACCCTCACAGGGAAGAGCTTCTGCCTCAGAGCTCATCTCAGTCTCCCCTCTGGCAGGTTAAAGCCATTCCCCTTGGCCTGTCCCTAAGGGCCCTTGTCCCAAGCCCCTCTCCAGGTTTCCTGCATCCCCTTTAGGCACTGGAGCTGCTCTAAGGTCTCTGGGGTTGTTGGCTACCTAAGACAGCCCAACCCCAGGGCAGCCTGGCACCCAGGGCTGCAGGAACCCCGGGTGGGCTGGATCCCGGCGCTGCTGCACCTCTGGGGCTGCCACATCCCAGGGGCTGCCGGACCCCGGGACCATCCTCACGCCGGAGTCACGGGATCCTCAGGAGCTACCGGAGCCCCGGGCCGAGCTGGGAGCCGGGAGCCGGGAGCCAGGACCCGCATCCTTCCCTCGGGGATCCCTCCGCACATTCCTCGGCGCTGCCCACCCGGGGACCCCCGGGCCCGTCGGGGCGGCGCTGCCCGCGGTGGGGGGCGCGGCCCCCGGAGCCTGGCCTGCCGTCACGGGAACCAATGCGGGCACCGCCGCTGCCGGGGGGGCGGGGGGGAGCGGCTGCGGAGCGCTCGCACTGCGGCTTCCGCCCGCCGAGCGGCGGCCAGGGCAGGGCGGTCGCCGGGCACGGGGGAGCCGGGGGGGGGCGGCGGAGCGAAGCGCGGGGGGGAAGCGCCCCGTATGGGATGGGCCGGGTCAGGCCGGGCCCCGCCGCTCCGACGGTGATGGCGGCCCGCGGGCTGCGACCGCCCCGCCGCGCCCGAGCCGGAGCCGCGGAGCTGCCGCTGGTGCTGGTGCTGGTGGTGCTGAGCCGCGGAGCCGCGCAGGAGCTGAGCCCCCGCGGCAGGAACGTCTGCAGGGCCGGAGGGTAGGAGCGGCGGGACGGGACGGGACCCCGCGGGGCCGGGGCGCGGGGTGCGGCGGGATGGGGAGGGGGGGACACGGGACACACACACACACGGACCCGCCGCTGGGCGCCTGCTAGGGTGAAATCCAGCTTGTGAGGCGTTGAGACGGGGGGAGCCGGGTACCGGGAAGGGCTGAGGAGCTCGGCCCGCGAGGGGCCGGGATGGGGGTCCGGTCCTGACCGCCGGGAGAGCTGCGGGGACCCGGCTCTGGCCACACCGGGGCCGGCCCTGCTCGCCTTTGGGGCAGTCCTGCTGCGCGGAGCCGGTTCTGAGTGCTCCTGGGCAGTCCCGCACTTCGCGGCCGCCGGGAGTGCTGTGAACACCCGGTCCTGCAGCCCCCGGGGCCGGTTCTGTCCCCCCCTCCGGGGCCGATCCTGCTGCGGGGACCTTTTCTTTGGTGCCTCGTGATCATCGAGTCGTGCTGTGGGGGACCAATCCTGCATCCCTGGGGCCGGTTCTGCTGTGGGGAGCCGATCCTGGGTGCCTCCAGGCATCGGATTGCACTTGGGGGGAGGCCGGTCCTGCACCCCCCGCAGCCAGTCCCATGGCCGAGCAGGATGCAGGATGCTTTGGGTATGCTGGTGGAGCTGCCCAGGGCTGCTCGAGATGGTGGACTTGGCAGTTCCAGCACCCTCGGGTTTGGCTTCAACAAGTGAGTGCTGGCACTACCTGGCTGCCCCCGGGGGTCACATCCTGCCTGCCTGATCGGGGTGGTGACAGAGCCCTGGGAGCTGGCACTGCCTTGTCCCCACTCCCTGAGCTCTGCCTCTACCACAGGTCACTGCAGAGCATCGCCTCGGGCCAAGCTTCTCTGCAGCGCTGGGGCTTGGTGCTGAGGCTTGGTGCTGGCCAGGCTGGCCCCAGTCAAGGGGGGAGAGTGCCCACAGACACTGCCTCCTGGCTGGGAGAGCTCCAGCCCCTGCCCTTGCTGGGGGGCCCAGGCCATAAATGCACCTTTACATCTCGCCTGTGAGGTCAGATGAGTCCACAAGGAAAACATGTGCTGAGAGCGAGAGGGGCCACATAATGGCTCCATTCAGCAGGGCCGCAGGGGCTGGTGCCCCCTCCTCAAGTTACAGCCTGAGTTTCCTAAGGAGGCATTTCAGGAGCCAGAGCGGTGGCTGCTGTGGATGTGGGATGTGGGAAGTGGGAAGCGGTTCCTCCTCGCTGCCCATCATCTGTCCAAGCAAAACTGCCACCATGTCCTGGGGTGGCAGCGGGAATGTGACGCAGAGTCCCCCCTACCCTGTCCCATTCCCAGCATCCAGCCCCACGTGCTCAGGATGGGATGTCTGAGTGCTTCCCTTTGCACCATTCCTGCTGGAGGGATGCTGCACCCAGTGCTGCGGGGCTTGGACACTAGGCATTCGCCAGCAAGCGGACAGGATGCAGGGGGTGATGTCCATCCTCCCATGGGGCCTGCAGGCAGCCTGGGTGCCAGACAAGGTGGGTAGGGGACAGCCCCTGAGATGTTCTTCTTGGCATGGAGGATGCCCCATGTGTCACCATCCAAACACACCTTAGTGGCCCCAAGAACTGGGGTGCTGTGGGTCCTTCCCTGGCCCTGGGGCTTTGGGACAGGTCCCAGTGTCCCCCACCCAAGCTGGGTGAAGCTGCTGGTTGGATCTGTGGTTGTGATGATCTGCCAGGCACCTCCATCCCTCGAGGATGCCAGTTGTCAGTTTTGGGGGGCTTGAGGGCAGGATTCTGCTTCAGCTCCTTCTGTGACCTCCTGAGACCTGGCTAGTGAGCAACAACCTAAGGAACTATGTGGGGCAGAGAAAAGGGATGTGTGGGGACAATTTGGTGTTAAAGTTTTCTTTCCTAATTTTGAAGTTCTTTTAGAACCAAGTTACAAGCTGGGGTGCTACTCTCCGACGCTGGTGTTTGGGGTGCAGGCCGGTGCCTGGGCACTGCTTTGTCCCCATCCTGCTCTCACCAACACTTTCTTTTGGTGAGCATTGCTTTTAAACTTTTCTTTCTCTGCCTGAAGAGTTTCCACGATCCTGCTCCAGGGAATCTCTGCCTTGCACCCCAGGGTTGAGGTTGGGCCGGGGACCTGGAGCTGGCATCATCCAGGGGGGATGTTGCTGGCTGGGACCCCGTGGTCCCTGTGTGCCACATGGGGGGAGCTGGGTGGCACCAAGTGATGGGTGATATGGAGAAAGAAGGAGCTCAGTGCCACGGTGATCCTTGGGAGAAACAGTGGGGTGGGGAGCCCTCAGGATGGCCACAGGGCTGGGGAGGGGACAGCTGTGGGCTGTGGGGACATGCTGCGTGCTCGCGAGCTGAGAGCAGGAGGTCTCACATGGGACCATCTGACATGAGACCACAGCAGTGGCTCCCACCCGAGCCCCAGGGTCTCTCCTCTGCTCTGGGGATGTGAGCCCACTCCTCACTGTTTTGGGGGGGGGGAGGGCTGTCTTGAGCTGTCCCTCCGGCCTCAGGAGCCCCCTCCATAGCTGTGGGTGAAGGGGATGTGCTTCAGGGAGCAATTCATCCACAGGAAAAATATTTTGTCCCCATAGAAGCCCCCAGAGCATCCATGGAGGTGCTGCTGGTG